AGGTACTGGTTTTATTTTGTTTTGTTTTTTCACTTGCACTTTTCCATTTAACCATTCCATGAAGGAAATCAAGCAGTCCACTGTCCTTAGTGAGTGATGTGGTGGGCGGCACCTGGATGTGAGATGTGACTCCCTGGGGCTTGCCTCTCCCAGGCTTGACCCCATCTGTGTACAATTGTATACATTTGTTTTTCCATTTAATACTGTGCTTCTTAGAAAACAAACACTCTCTTGATAAAAGTTCTTAATATGTTATTTTGTCAGTAGTCACTTTGCAAATGAAAATGTCATAAAGGCATGGTAATTATAAATAAATCAGTAAAAAGTGATGAAATCATTAACATTTTAGGTTTCACCCAAATTTAAGGATAAAAACTAGGTAGGTCTCAGTTTTTTAAGTGGGTCTTTTGAGCACACTAAAATCATCATTCCAACAGTCAAGTGCCTGAACCCTGAAATCAGATGGCCTGAATTTGAGTCCTGGCTTTGCCGCTTATTGGCTCTGGGTCCTTGGACAAGTTATTTAACTGCTCTGAGCCCCATTTCCTCATCTTTAAAATGGGAACAATGAGCTGAAGTATCTGATCCATGGGGTGGGGTTATGTGGATGAATGAGTTTATAGTGAAGAGCACTTAGTACAGAGCTGGACGCACAGAGATGCTCGGTGAGTGTGAATTATTGTTGATGTTGACGTGCTTCTCTTTCTTGTGGTCAGCCTGTTTGGTTTGGCTGTCCTTTATTTACCCAGACAGATTTGGTTCTACCTATAGCCCGTAGCTCCAACTGTCTTTCTTCTATTACGTATATGTTACCTTCCATGGTCAAGTTTTAATTCTGAAACTACTCTGGAAGGAAGCTCCAATTTTGGCATGGTAAACTTTTCAGAGTCCTGTCTTCTCACATTTTCTCATTCAAAGGATCGGGTCATTGGCTGCTTCATATTAAGAGAAGTCATTGTAAGCTTCTGAGCATATCCTTGGTTTTCAGAACAACTAGCCGTGGGCCCGGGCTGTCCCTTCTTCTGGTCCCCGCGGAAAGTCTTGAGCCCTGACTGCAGAGGACTCTGACTCTCAGCTTCTTATTTATTTTCACTCTTTCAAGTTTACATTTCAAACTTGCTTTTTCCAATCATTAAACCTTTATCCCAAGTTGAAAATATAATTAAATATTATAACATGTAAAAAGTATATGTTAGGAAGCCAATGGAATGGTGAAAAGGGCAGGCTTTTATTTATTTATTTTTTTTGAGTTATGATGAAGGACTCAGCTTTAAGAAATGCTGTTTGTAATCAAGAGTTTGTAAATAAAGCATATGATGGAGTGAAATTATTTCAGGAGGGTAAACTGGATTGTGGGAGCTAAGACAATTTAATGCAGGTAAAGGTAAAATATAGACTGGAATTTAAGTTGACAACTAGATTTTAAAAAGCTGGCAGCACAGGTCTTTTTAATCTTGCTGAGAAATGACAGGCTCTGGTTTGTTCTTCCAGCGTCTGGCACCAGCCCCCCGGCCCTGAGGTGATTATCCTAATCTGTTTCTGCCCCAGTAGGAGGCCCTTTGATCCCACTGAAGCAATAATATATTCCTTAATAAAAACACAAAAGTATCAAATTTTCCCTACTCACAGGATAAAAAATGTTCTATTGTTTGAACCTTTACTGGTGGCACTGAGATGGAGTGTAAAAGAGGAAACAGGATTCTGTGTATTGCTGGGGCCCAGGGGCAATGGAACCTTTAGAGTGCAAGTATTCCCTTCATTTACAGACTAACCAAATCTTAGTGCAAAACCAATGCTCTAGGAAGATGGACCATATTTGTCCCATGACTCTACCATCCTTGGCACACCCTGAGGCCTTTGGTTGGAGTGAGTTCTTACCACAGAAGGGCAAGGTGAGATTACTGAAATTCTTTGAAATCTGGAATTATAAGAAAGTAATGTGCTTGGCTACCATTGTGGTAGTGGAAGGAGTGTAAAGGTGGCCTTTAATTATTTGAGTATTTGTGTTGATTTTATATATATGCCTGTACATAGAATAGTAACCGGTAACAGGTTGTAAATGAGGTCATTTGATTTCTCTTTGTGACTGCCATGAATGTGCCATACAGCCTTGGGTAAATCGGTTATTTTTTGTGTCATTTTCAGAAACAGGAAGAAACCTTTGGGCAGGGTTCTGGTCCAGGGGTTTCCACGTGGGCACCTCCATCCCTTGGGGCCCTATGAGCCAAAACACGCAGCTGGCATCTGTTGTCTGAATAAATGTGTATTGCATATATGTGCTGTTATTTTCCAAATGTACACAGATGATATATAATTTAAAAAATACAGAGTGGCAAAAAGCTACTGAGAATTCAGCAATGCTTTTAAATATCTTTGCATTTTATTAATCCATGGATGCTAAAATCAAAACTTCTGTCATGTGGAGGTTGACATTTTTGGTGTTTAAAGTGGTGTGGTTTCCTGTGTACTGAGTTAATGGAGGTTCATTTAGTTCAGAACCTTGGTCTTCGCCAGAGGACTACATCTTTACTTATTTGCATATATAAATAGATTATATTTCTTGGGAAAAATTTTAATATCCTACTTGATCCTAGTGGTTTTCCATGCACCCTCTCTGGGGACACCTAGTGGTTATAGTAAGAAGTGCAGCCTTTCTGTCTGCACAGAGAGTGGCTGTTCCGGTAACAGATGCCATGTGTTACTGAGGAGGACTGCTGCTGACTCAGACTTCCCCAGGGTGTTAGAGACCGGGGCTCCTCCCCTGGCTCAGCCCAGCTGGTGTGTGTCTTAGTTGCCCACACTCATGGGAGATGGATACTGGGATCTTAGGTCCAAGCTATCTGCTAATTCTGAATGTGGGCCCAGCTGGTTTCACGAAAATGCAGGATGGGGAACATGTTGCATGATTGGAATCCTGGAGTAGGAATTTTTAAGCAAAAATGAAAATAAAGAACACCCATGATTGTCCTGGGTTTAGGCTGCATCCCACTTTAGGAAGCTTGCAGGAAGCTTTTCTGGGTCCCCTCTCTCCCTGTACTGTAACCTGTCATCTTCTCAGACTCTGGACTCCCCCCAGGGCAGATGCTGTGGGTTTTGTACTCTTACTGCTGGGCTAAGCAGAGCAGGCACTTGTAACATCAGGTTGAGTTTGTTAATCTTTTCATTTTATGCATGAATAGGATTATTTATAGTTCCCAGGGCCCTGAATTAACGTTGAATTTATTAAAATTGTAAACATTAAAAAAACTTAGATTTTCTTAAGCTTTAAGTTCAATTTATAAATACTATTGCTCTGTTTATGAAGCTAGTAATTTTTGTATAAAAGTAACATTTACTTTCATTTGATTAATAGTTTATTAACTCAAGTTTAGCTGATTAAAATCTCCTAAACAATTTGCTGTAAATTGGTCTTGTTTACAATTTACTGAATTAGAAAGTTTTTAAACATTTTATACTGCATTTACAAATGCGATTTACCTGATTTTTCTCCAGCAATTCCGAGCCCTAATGAGGCCCAAGCGGAGCTAAAGAGCCAGATTATTTACACACACAACTTTGAAATCTAAGAAACCAAACTTGGAAATGTGGTAAATCAGTTTCTTGTAAACATTCTGTGTACAGACTTACTCAGATTCTCTTACTTATTTCAAATGAAGATTGGAAGTCTAATATCAATTGCACATTTCACGTTAAAACCACAAAAGCCAAGATGTTAGATTCTCTAATTTATCAGATTGTTTTAACTACCTTGATAACAAAGACACATTATTCTGGAGATTACAAAATGTGTTTGTAATTGAGTTTATTCCTCAATTAACGTAAAAGCCCGATGTAGCTTCTCTCTAATTTTTTTCTCTACCATCATAAACATACTCGGGCCCAAAGTGGTTCCTGTGTGGAAGGTTTGTGATCTGGATTCTGTTATCAACAGTGAGAGATTGGGGCCTGGACCTGGGATGGGGGTGGAATTCCCACAGGACCTATCTACCTGCCGCTGGTTGTGTGGACTGGGCCCTTTCTTGGAGCCTGGTTCTTTCTGCTCTGTCAGTGGGGGAGCCCTGCTCATGCTGTCTAACTGGGATTTGCTTTAAAACCCAACACACCTTATGCTCTCTCTGTATCTTTTGAGTTGCCTTCTCAGTTTTGATTGTAAACTCCGTTGACTTTTACTCACCTGGTCTGGCTAGATGGATTTTTACCACACTTAGGTTGCAGCTAATTTTCCCCACTACTCAATGAAAATAAACTCATTTCCTTACCTCCGATCGGATTCTATATTCTTTCCTGTGTGTATGTATTTTCTTGTCTGCTGCTTGGTCACAACTCTGTAGCCGTTTTATCGACAAGTAAGTGTCGGTACTTACTGGTCAATGTTGAGTGCCTGTTGAATTAACTTTGGTAATAGGGTACAGGAGTATTATTGACACGTGGAATCTGTTCATTTTAATCTCCTTTGTCCAAAGCCAGTGATCACTCAGCTGATTTTCCCTTCTAACACCAGTGGTTCTCAGCGCTGGCTGCACATTAGAATTGTCAGTGGAGCTTTGATACCGCGCACAGCAGGGGCCCCACCTCAAACTGACTGGAGGAGACCCTCTGCTGGGCACCACTGTGTGTTAAAGGTTTGCCAGTTATCCTGATGCACAGAGAGGATCAAAACCACTGTTGTAACAGCTGTGAAATGAAAGATTTCGGGTCATTAAAACAATCTCGTTGTCTTTACTTTCTTTTTATGGAAACACTAGTGGGAAATGCAGACAAAATGAAAAGGACACCTAAGGTAGAATGTTTGGCCTATGCACGACTGGACCATTTTCCTGTAAAAAGTCGGAGTTAAAGAAGAGATGTTTAAGATGTAGGTGATAAAATCTTTATGGTATGCTCTTCTTTTGTATTTGTTTAAAGTACGTGTGCATGGGTTCCTCGCTGACCTTTCTTAGCCTGTTGTTATTGCCCAGCACAGTAAGGCACGCACTCAGGCGTCTGCTTCCTTGGCCCAGGTTTCTGTTGATGTACTCCACAGTTTTGTGCAGCCATTACAATTCGCCCCTGACGACGGCAGTGGTTGGAGCCATCAAGGTAAGTGAATGAAACCTTGGAATGCATGACCCAATTGGGGAATGGACGGTGGAATCCTGTCTTTACGAGAGAAGCTGAGTTTGAATTTGTTGTTGTCGTCACCAGAGGCGGAGTAAGAATGGAGGCTTGTGGTGTTTTCAGCTGTGCTGGGGATCCCTTCTTAGGTCTTCTCATCTCCTAATCCTGAAAACAGAGAGAGGATTTGTTAATTTACAAAAGAGAGACAAATATGACTTTTAGATTGGGGGTGCTGGAGGGGCTGGTCTGGGAAAACGAAGTAAGAAAGCTGAAAAAATTTCCAAGTTGCCGCACTCACCGAGATAACCTTCTGATCTATCATTTGGTTTTCTGGGAGAACCTGCTAACTAAGAAAGGGAGTCCTCGTGAAGAAGTGTTTTCAATCTAGATATACGCTCGCTAATAAGGTAATGAACTCATGGACTGCTGTGTCTGTGGATATGTTCTGTGTGTGTACATGCATTTGAATACACATGCGACTAGGAGGTGGGGTGTTCTCAGTTCTGACCTGCAGCTGCTTTGTTCTTCTCTTCGTGTGAACTCCCAGAGTGGGTGAGGAGTGCTGCCTGCGTCCACAGCAGACTTGTCCGTTGGCTCCCAGAGGGCCCCTGCCACACACTGGACTGAGAACTGCGTGGAATTCACTAGATGGAAATTGCTCATCGTCTCTAATCTCTTCAAGTTTAGCAGCAATATGATTAAAATTTACTACCCAATGGTGGTAAAGAGATGGGGTCTGGAAAGCTGATGACAATGCAGAGCTTACATCTTCTTCGTGTATGAACTAGAAGGGGGCACGAATGATGCAGTGTTCTGTGGTCATCGTGCCATACTTTACTTCATTTTTTAAATAAAGTCATAGTAATGGTTTTTTGTTCATTCATTCAACATCCTGTGAATACCTACTGAGTACAACTCTGTGCAAAGTAACTAAAATGTTTAGTTTTGGATTTCACCATATATATGTATTTTTCTGCTAAATCCTTTACTTTTAAAATTATGAATCCTCTCTCTTTGTCTGCAGAATGTATCCGTTGCCTACATTGGGATGCTAGTTGGTGGAGACTACATTTTCTCTGTGTTAAACTTTGTAGGGTTAAATATTTGGTAAGTGGGTGGTGTTTTTTCTTTTTTTTTTTTTTGAGAAAGATTAGCCCTGATCTAACATCTGCTGCCAATCCTTCTCCTTTTTTTTTTATGCTGAAGAAGACTGGCCCTGAGCTAACATCCATGCCCATCTTCCTCTACTTTGTATGTGGGACCCCTGCCACAGCATGGCTTGACAAGCAGTGCATAGGTCGGTACCCAGGATCTGAACCGGTGAAGCTTGGGCCACTGAAACAGAACATTGTGAACTTAACCACTGTGCCATGGGGCCAGCCCCAAGTAGGGTTTTCTAAATGAACTCATTTTAGTAAAATATGAATTTTAAAAAGTCTGATTAATAAATTGTAAGTGAAAGAGCAGGAGGTGTTTTGACATTACAGTTTCTAATAATTTTATGTAAATCACTCAGTTCATCTATTTTTCTGACACACTCCCTCCTGTGGATCATGGGAATGTGTGTAATGAAAATTCAGGGGGCCAAGATCTGAATTTAACTCATGTGCCTTCCTCTTGTGAGGTGGGCCTCACTAAACCTGTGCTCCCTCAGAGCACCACATGCTAAGGACACGGGAGGAGTGACCAAGACCCTTCTGAAAGGCGTTTTGGGGTCTCATACATAGGATGCTATTTTAGGACAAAAGTATATAGTTTATTCAATAATAATCAAATTCGGGGGCCGGCCCTGTGGCCGAGTGGTCAAGTTCGCACATTCTGCTTCGGTGGCCCAGGGTTTCGCCCGCTTGGATCCTGGGTGCAGACCCAGCTCTGTTCATCAGGCCATGCTGAGGCAGCATCCCACAGAGCGCAACCAGAAGGACGTACAACTGGAATATACAGCTATGTACTGGGGGGCTTTGGGAGAAGAAGAAGAGAAAAGATTGGCACCAGATGTTAGCTCACGGCCAATCTTTAAAAGAAAAACCAGGTGCTGCTTTTCTTTCCAAGCTTCTGTATTAGATTTATTCTACTCTTTTTCTACCCCAAAGATTTGTAAATAAGAGGGGTAATTCTCATCAAGTAATATACAAACTTGAGGAGAAAGACAGGGGGGCAATAATTTCCTTCTGAATGAGCCACTGTATTTACTAAAGATGTCAGTAGCTGCTGGCGTGCCACCTGTGACGCCCACTGATTTTCACTCTTTTTTTCCTTTCAGCATGGCGGGGGGCTTGAGATACTCCTTTTTAACTCTGAGCAGCCAGTTCAAACCGAAACCACTGGCGGACGAAGAAAGCATCCCTCCGGATTTGAAGGGCTAGAATCTGGGACAGAATTGCAGACTGACTGGCAGACTGGGGCCGGGGAGGAGGGTGGGGCCGGGCCAACCCAGGCGCGGGAGTGTGAAGCCTGGTGTTTGGGTCCTGGGAGCCCCCCCACGGCCCCGACCCGTTAAAGCATGAACAGGAGTGTGTCTGCAAAACACGGGGAGAATCTACCTCACAGGCCGCGGCCCCGATCCACCGCCACCCGCGGAAGCGTGGGCAGCGCCTCCCCGCCCGACGGCGCGTCCTCTCGGCACCGGCCGGCGTCCGCCGCGCGCGCTTGAGAGGGGCCGAGGGGTCGATGCTGGGATGGCCTTTATTTCCTTCTTGGCACCTTGGCCTTCGTTTCAAAGCTCCCAGCCAAAGCGACGTGCCAGTGTGAACACTTTTTCGGCTTAAACAGACGTCTTCATTTTAATAAAATCAGTCAATTAACTGCTAGTAAAGTTATTTGTTAGCTTTGATTTGATCTTATATGTTGGTATCTTTTCCCAATCATCAAAATAAAATAAAGAATAATTTATATGCATGCCTCATACTGTGATATTATTGGAGACAGGCGGAAAAACAGTCAGTCATTCACTCTGCCCTGAAGGGTAAAATTCCTCTTAAGGCTCATGCTGGGAAAAATCACAGAATAATGGAAAAAACAAGACTGGTGTGCCCTGTAACCTGTCAGGAGGTCATGTTTCTCTCCTCATATCCCTCCAGGTTTTTCAGGGGGCTTTCTGTGGAGTTTCACCAAAGGTCGGTTTCCTCCTAGGCCTGACCTCCCAGACCAGGGTTACACGGGAAGGAGCCCTGAACGGATGAGAGTTCTCATTACTATTAACAGTGCGTTTTCTCGTGTGAATGATGGTTTGATACTGTTGATGTGATACGTATATTTTCCTCATTGTGTTGTGATCTGTTATCTTCATCAAGAAATGGCCTGTCCCCATCGGGGCTGTGGTGCAGGGTGGGTAGGGCCCAGGCTGGGAGACCGGAGCCCTTCCTTTTAGTCCTGTCTCTGCTGCCAACCCACCAAGAGCAGGTCGCCTTGCCATGCTGGCCTCGTTATTTTAATCTGGAAAATTGAACTAGAGCTCCACGTCCCTGCCAGCCCCGACTTTCTAAATTTCTAGAAGCGGAGCCAGATGTGGGGCAGGGCGGCAAATGAAGGAATGATTGTGTTGACGTGTTATTTCAATTTACTTTAAAAGAAATTTTACTTTTAGTTATAAAATACACAGCATAAAATTTACCATCTCAGCCATTTCTAAGTATATAGTTCAGTAGTGTTAAGTATGTTCACACTGCTGAGCAACCATCTGCAAACATTTTTCATTCTTGTAAAACTGAAACTGTACCTCGTGCCCTGCCCCAGCCCCTGGCAGCCGCCGTGGGACTGTCCGTCTGTAGGAACCGGAGTACTCTAGGTACCTCTTGTAAGTGGAATTGCACTGTCTTTGTCTTTCTGTGACTGGCTTATTTCACTTAGGATAATGTCCTCAAGGTTGATCCCTGTTTTAGCATGGACGTGTGAGAATTTGCTTCCTTTTGAAAGCTGAATAACATTCCGTCACATGGATAGACCACATTTTGTTTATCTGCTCATCTGTCAATGGACACCTGGGTTGCCTCCACTTCTTGGCTATTTGTGAATGATGCTGCTGTGAACACATGGGTACACAAATATGTCTTTGGGACCCTGCTTTCAATTCTTTGGGATAGTAAAAGAAAAGTTGTTGTCTGTACACACAGAACACTTCTGACACCAAATGTGTGAGGCCTTTCCCTCACAGGAAGCAATTCTCCAACTCTCTGGACACAACTGGGTGTCCTACTATTTAATTCTGTTACTAACCACCTGGAGTTAGTACAGATCCCACAGGTTAAGGGCCCAGTCCCCCAAGACTGCCCCCCACTTCAGATGCCAATCCCAAGTCCCAGGTTGTGACTGGTGCTTCTCACCAACAGCCATCACTCAGGGGTTTCCACACCCCCTTGCTCGAGTTCAATAATTTGCTAGAATGGCTCACAGAACTCAGGGAAGTGCTTCACTCTCTAATACCAGCTTATTATAAAGGATGCAACTCAGGAACAGCCAAAGTGAAGAGGACCAGGCATGTGGGCACTGGTTTGGAGCTTCTGTGCCCTCTCTACGTGCAGCCCCCTCCCAGCACATTGACCTGTCCACCAATCTGGAAGCCCTCCAACCCCCATCCTTTAGGCCTCATCACTGTTTTCCACAGCAGCTGCACCATTTTACATTCCCACCAACTGTTCAGAAGGGTTCCAGTTTCTCCACATCCTGTCTAACAGTTGTTACTTTTTGTTTTTTTTTTGTAGTAGCCATCCCAATGGATGTGAGTTGATACCTCACTGTAGTTTTGATGTGCATTTCACTACTGATTGGTGATGTTCAGCATCTTTTCAGGTGTCTGTTGGCCGTTTGTATGTCTTCTTTGGACAAATGTCTACTCAGATCCTTTGCCTATCTGTGAATTGGGTTGTTTGTCTTTTTGTTGTTGAGTTGTAGGAGTTTTTTATTGTTTCAGTTTACTTCTAGAGTGTGACCTTGGGGCTCCCGAGATGTATGACCACCTTCTCTTGTATCATCAACATCATTTCTGAAACCAAGAGACCAAAAATGCTAAGATTTGAAAAATATTATCAACTCATTTTTTCAGTGACAAAACAAAACATATAAAAACAAGCTTTTGCTTTCTTCCAACTTTTTTTGTTCTCAGAATTCTTAAAGGAAGGTGCTTTTGTGGCTCTCTACACTCTTCACGTGGTCGGTCTTCTGTTTTCATCACCAGGATGCCTGTGGGTGGGGGTTCTTATTTCGCTTTTTCTTTTGCTGTTGATCGGAATACCTTTCTTGGTTTCTTCTTGAAGGACCCTTTATTTTCACCTGTGTGGAAAGACGTCCCCTGCTTCCCTGTGTGGCCAGCAGAGGGCACCCTGAGAGCAGCCCGGCAGCCCTTGTGGCTGGGCTGAAACGTGCAATTTCTGCTGCCTCTTCTAAAGCACCAGATTCCCGAGGTGCGAGGGTGCTGGGAGCTCCACCGCAGCTTTTGAGTTAAGCTTAGTTGAGGATTCTGGATGCAGAGAGGTGGTGGGAAAGGGATCCATGAGCTCCAAGGAAGCCCAATGCCTCAGGTCTCCAGATTGTTCTTACTGAAAAATCATAAAAACCACTCTGGATGGGAAAATTAGTTTAATATCCTTGATATTTTGCTTGCTTCTGGCTATTGTACTGCTAATAACAATGACACTACTTGTTAACTTGGACTTTTTTCTACTGTTTTAATATTTTTCTAAATATTAAATATATCTCAGGTGCATGGGCACTGGAGTTTTGTGACAGCTGAGTTTGCTTAAAGAATAGAACCTAGTTTAGAGAAGAGTTACATATTTTGCATGTATAGTATATGTATTATATATACTTTTTGTTATATATTATTTTCATTTATATATATTTTTTGTGCCCTCAGGAAAATGGCAAAGGGACATATGTCAATAATTTTGGAGTCTTTAGTTACTTTTTTCCTTTTGCATGATCGCTTCAACTTTTAAGTGTTAGTCATTTTTATGACGTGTGAGTCGTTTTTGTTTCTGTGAATGGGTGTGTGTCCTGGTGACTACACTTTGAGTGCTGAGACTGCCAACTTAGCTGACCAGTAGCTGCTGCTCCTTAGCTTTTGGGGAACGGGGCATCCAGCAGCTCAGAATCTCCAAGGTTCTCTTCTGTCATCAGATGCTGAGCACGTGGAAGAAGAAAGTGTGCCCCTTTAGGATGAAGGCCGGAACCCCCAAGCCAGGCCCGGGGACGGCCAGGGTCAGGAGATGCCATCCGTGTGGCTTCTGACTCCCATCTCCACTCCAGGTTAGAGTCTCCCCCGAGAAGCCTCAGAGCTGTGTGTGGTTCCTGGACCAGAACATCAGTGTTCCGTGGGGGCTTGTCAGAAATGCAGAGGATTGAGCTGTGCACACTGAACCAAATCTGCGTTTTAACCCGGGTGATCTGAGAAGGCTCTTGGTTCAGACCATACTTTTAGTCTTCTGGTAGTTATCAGAGCCTCCGCTAGTTCTTGTTATTTATATTAGAATATAGTATTATATATTATTATTATTATATAATATATTAGAATATGTTATGAATATTAGTTATATTCATAAAGAAGCTTACTTTTAGTCCATCATATTCAGAAAATATTGTGATAATTTTTTTGGTAATTGGTTTCCTTTATACTTTTATGTATTTTACTTTATGCATTTAAAAACATTATTTGGAGGAGGAGGCCGTAGTTGGGGCCCATGGCACTGAAAGAAGTAAGGATTACTGCTGTAGAGGGAGAGAGAAAATTCCAGATTAATATGTTTTCTCAGGAAATTGTTTCGTTTTTGGCCTTAGTACCAGTGGAGCTTTGCTGACTGAATGGGTGCGGAGGAGCCCAGGGGCACGTTCCAGGCAGATGTGGTCAGCCGTCTGCAGCCGGAGGGCCAGAGAGGGAGGCCATGGGGCAGGGCAGCTCGGCTTCACTGCCGTAGCCTCCCTGTTCAAAGATCAAACAGAGATGTGGATCCCCGCTCGAGTCACAGCACGGCACCTGTTCTTCAAGTTCTGTGACTGCTTCCCTGGAGCGTGATGTTAGAAGTCTGTGAAGAGGTGGGATGGCCACATGAGGAGCTCTGTGGACCCACTCTCCAGTGAAACAAGCAAAACTAGAGGAAGCTCTCAGGAAACAACCATTTAAGCTCTCTCGAAATCGTCCGAGGGGATGTAGCAAATGAAGAAACATTGATTCAAGAAAACCTGATAAAGCTGGGTAAGAACAGTGAGAGCCTGTGGCATTTAAGCCTTGACCCAGTTCCTCTCCCCTCCTCAGCCTGATGGAAGCTCCGTCCCCAGTGCGTTGGGAGCTCTTCTCAGCTCCCAATCAAGGGTCACCGGATCTGACTTGCAGGGGCAGGCCACTAGTGTTTCTCATCTCCAAGTGGGAGAGGCTCAGCTCCTGGTGAGTGTGGCTGAGGGACAGGGCCCCCTCTACCAAGCCCATGGATGGAGGCCCTACCCCAGGTGCAGGAGGCCAAGAACACTGGGTTCCCAATCGTCCTTGCCCCAACTTGATTGTAGGGCAGAGGTCCCATGCTGGGGAGAGGAAAGCAGACAGGACCAGAGGCTACCACCCTGCCAGGCACCCAGCACAGCGACTCAGAGAGTTTGTCTAGAAGAGGCAGTCTGTGCAGTCAAGAATTTAACCTTACCCGAAAAGATGTCCAGCCTTTGCCCTTGGCTTCTGAGAGAGAATCCTAAACTCTTGGAATGTTAAGCCTGAAAGAAATGTCGTTTCCCTGGGGACTTAGGATCTTGCTGGATAGCCTAACAGTGTGATTTAGGATGGGAGTTGGCTATACCCAGTTGGGGCTGGCCACACCAGAAAGACTAATAATATGGTTTAGGGTGGGGGCCGTGGGTGATGCCTGCAGGGGCCAGAGACTGAGATCGGCCCCATGGGCAATCAGTCATGCCTATGCGAT